ATAGAAACTCATCCTGAGGGATGGAAGCACACAGCCATGGGATGGAAGAACATCACCATGGGATGCAGTGACCTGCCTACCACTCCATAACCATTAGTCCTAAGGGGATGCCTGCCTGCCCCATGGTGCCAACCCCCCTTTTGACGCAGCTCCCAGTGCCGTCCCCCTTCAATACACATGGTTTTGGGTGGAAAACACGCAGTTTCAGCTCTCTGGAGCAAAACCCGAGGGAAACGCGTCTAAACGCACTAAGGAACAGGGAAACAAACGGGATTATGGGCGGGGATGAAGGAGAAGAGGGTTTGGTGCGGGAATAGGAAGCAGCGATGGGATGGGGAGGCCCCATTCGCGGAAGTGGCATCGGGGGGGAACGGGATCGCGATCGCAACGCGGCGGCTCCGAAACGGCGGCTCCGGGGCATTGCGATCGCGATCCCGTTCCCGAACGGTTGCAATGGGTCCGGTGTTGGGGTCCTTACCTATCGTGCGGCTCCCCTGGAGCCCCTTCGGCCACTGGGGCCGCGGCCATGGCGCTGCGGGGATGGGCGGGCTCGGGGCGGCCGGAGGCGGAGCTGCCGCGGGGATGTGCGGGATTTGTAGTGCGGGGATGGGGAGGCGGGGATGGGGCGGGAGAGGGGTTTAAGGGGGTGTTATGGGCATGGATGGGTGCCATAGGATGCAGATGGGTGCTATAGGGTGCAAGTAGATGATATGGGCACGTTTATGTGCCATAGGATGCAGATGGGTGCTATAGGATGCAGATGGTTGCTATAGGGTGAAATTGATCATATGGGCACGTTTGGGTGCCATAGGATGCAGATGGGTGCTATAGGGTGCAAGTAGATGATATGGGCACGTTTGGGTGCCATGGGGTGCTATGGGTGCAAGTAGATGATATGGGCACGTTTATGTGCCATGAGATGGGTGCATAGGATGCAGATGGTTGCTATAGGGTGAAATTGATCATATGGGCACGTTTGGGTGCCATAGGATGCAGATGGGTGCTATAGGGTGCAAGTAGATGATATGGGCACGTTTGGGTGCCATAGGATGCAGATGGGTGCTATAGGGTGCAAGTAGATGATATGGGCACGTTTATGTGCCATAGGATGCAGATGGGTGCCATAGGATGCAGATGGTTGCTATAGGGTGAAATTGATCATATGGGCACGTTTGGGTGCCATAGGATGCAGATGGGTGCTATAGGGTGCAAGTAGATGATATGGGCACGTTTGGGTGCCATAGGATGCAGATGGGTGCTATAGGGTGAAATTGATGATATGGGCACCTTTGGGTGCTGTAGAATGCAGATGGGTGCTATAGGGTGCAAGTAGATGATATGGGCACGTTTGGGTGCCATAGGATGCAGATGGGTGCTATAGGGTGCAAGTAGATGATATGGGCACATTTGGGTGTCATAGGATGCAGATGGGGGCTGTAGGGTGTATGTGGGTGCTGCGGGCATGGACGGGTGCTGTAGGTTGCAGGTGGATGCTGTAGGATGCAGGTGGATGCTGTGGGCACAGTGGGTGCTTTGGGCCATGGGTGGAAGCTGCGAGCATGAGTGGGTCCATGATCCCCATCACACTTGGGAAGCAAGATTATCCATGGGGAACATGGGATGAGGGATCACCAACACAGAGCTCAGCCTGGGGCTCACCTGGATCCGGACTCAAAGCAGACGTTAGGAAGAGAAGGGGGATTTATGCCCATGGGTGCTCAGGGGGTGCACTGGGTCCCACAGAGCAGAGCTGGGACATGATGCTCTTTGCATCAGGGTAATGCTGCTGCATGCCTGGTAAATGCTGCATGCACGGTAAATGCCGCAGGTACCGAGCTCCCCATCCCTGTTTTGGGATGCACCAGGATATTCCCTCATCCACCCCCTGAGGAAAGCAAAACCCCTCAGATCCCACTCCCTCCCTTCCAATGACCTGCACAATAACACTGCTGCTGCTGCTGCTGATACAAAATCCATACCCATTTATTGATGGAGCTGTTCAATACATCCAGCCCACAGCACTGCGGAGGGGTCCATGGTTACCAAAAACAGAGCATCACAAACAAGGAGTTTAGTATAAGATACTTTTACTGTTAAAACAATTCCATCTTTTTGCAAATAAACACTTTTTTTTTAATATATATATTTATATATTTATATATATGGTTACAAGTGATAAATTGGATTTTTTTTCTCTTTTTTTCCTTTTTTTTCCCCCCCCCCCCCCCCCCCCCAATACACTTATGCACTAATAACTGGCACCGACGAGAGACATCCGGATGTGCCATGGGATGGGTGGCTCCAGGAGGGAAAGAAAAGAACAAAACGCTCCCAAAATGCTCCCAACGCCCCTGGATGCGATGCTCAGGGATGGAGCAGCTCCAGCTCCATGGGGCTGCCCATACCCGGGGGTGCTGGGGGGGGTCTCTGCCCCCTATTTACTTACCGTGAGCATGGGTCCCACCACGCCGCCCTCCCCAGCATCCCTGTACCCTTGTTGGATCTATATTAACCCCATAGCACTGAGGACATGGGGGGGCCCTGGAGCTCAGGGTCTGCAAACCTCCATGGATAAGGGGATGGAAGGGGAAGGATGCGTTTGTCCCTTTGGATTGAGGTGAGGTTCTTGGCCTTCCAAGGCCAAGCAGGCAGATAAAGGGTGTCCCATGGAAAGGCGGCGATGGGAGAACGCATCCCTCTGTGCGTGGTAGGGAAAAACACCTTTTAAGGGGAAAAATATACCCTGAAGATTTCACTTCCTCCTAAAAGCTCCCATTCGACCACAGGGGGCTGAGGAGCATCCCCAGCTCCGAGGTGATGGGGACAGCATCTGCACCGGGACCCCCATTCCCACTGCCCATCAATGACATGTGAATGGGAATCGAGCCCTGTGCTGTGCCCAATGGGAGGCGGTGGGGATGGATTGGGATGAGCACCCAAACCCGCAGCCTGGGACACACAGGGCAAAGAAGGGAGCTTTGCCAGGGGGTTTCCCCCCATGGTGGGACATGGGTTTGGGATCCAGCGGCTCCCTCCACTCCTCCATGGGGGCTGCAGGATCCATTCTCCCCTTCCCATAAACCCAACAGCCTCAATGTGCACACTGAGCATCCTCGGGTCCCTCACCCCGGCCCTTCCTGCAGTCACTGCTCTGGCACAGCCCCAGCATCACCACATCCCCATCGTGGCAAGGACCAACACAGCTCCGAGCACATGGGTTCTGCTGCTCCGGACCGGCTCCCTTCCCAGCGGGGCAGGAGCGGTCCCAGCATCACCACCAAAACAGATGGGAGGAAGCACAAGCAGCAAAGGAACCAATGGAGCTTCCTCACCCATTGCTCCAAAGCCTGGGAGCTGTGGCTGGAGCAGGAGCCCTGGCTCCTATGGGAAGAGCCCTGGCTCCAAACACATCACCCACTGTGGCTGCCCCATCCCTGGCAGTGCTCAAGGCCAGGTTGGACACAGGGGCTTGGAGCAAGCTGCTCCAGTGGAAGGGGTCCCTGCCCATGGAACTGGATGAGCTTTCAGGTCCCTTCAACCCAAACCATTCCATGACTCCGATTCCATCCTGTGCTAACCTGCCCCTGGACAAGGATGCTCATCACAACCGAACGGAGCAGGGAAGGGACCCCAGGGTTGAGGTTGCAATGGATTAAAGCAGAAGCTCCAAAGCTCTCCCCACCCCGATGCCACCTTCCCAGCTCTGCACAGGGGCAAACCAAACTCAAACGAAGGATTTCCATCCCATTACTGAGGGGAAACTGATTCCATCCCATTACTGATTCCCAAGGACAGAGGTAGCCTGGTTTTGCCTGCAGACAGACACATCCCGCTCCAGGGATGCTTCCCTCCAGGCCGGAGCCAGGTGGTACAATGGTGTTAGCACAGAGGCAAAGGGAAGCAAAGGATGGAGCATGGGCAGGGGCTCCCCATCCCCAAGGAAAGAGGTTGGGGGAGCTGAGATTCACCCATTGCACATCCCAGCCCCATGGACAAGGTGAGTGGAAGGAGCCTGGGCAGCGGTTGGGGCTCAGCTGAAAGCAGGACCCATGATTGTCACTTGGTGCTGCCCCTCTGTGCCATCCCCTATCCCCCCCCAATGGGGGACAGACACCCCCATTTGGGCCATCAGCACCTTTGGGATGAGGACCCTGAATCACCCTTTCCATCAGCTGCTCCCCTCTGTGGCTCGGCCACCCCAGCACTGCCACTGCTGCTGCAGCTCCTCCATCACCCTGCTCCGTGCTCACGCCATTCCCAAGACATTCAGTTAATCCCTCCAACCCGACCCATCATCCTACAGCATCCCCCTCTCCCATCCACTTCCAGGGATGCTCACACCTCCTGCACCCCTTCCACAACCACATCCAGCCCCATGTGTCCGGAGGATGCTCTGCCAGCTCCATGCCTCATCCCACTGCCTGGAACAACCCCCTTGCACCGAGCCAGCCACAAAGCCAACACCACATCCCAAGGAAAGCACCAGCAGATCCCACCAGCATCCTCCTGCCACCCCTCTGCCCCTGTCTGGCTGCATGCATGGGGCAAACATCTTTGGAAACATCCCCTTGGGAGCTGGGATGCAGCCTGGAGCCTGCCTGGACAGCCCCCAGCCCAGCACATGCAGCCAGAGGGAGCCCAGCCAAGGGCATCCTGCTGCTATTGCACTTTTCTTTCACTCAAGCATCACCAGTTTGGTGCAGGGAGCAAGGAGGGAAAAGGCAGGGAATAGGGAGGGAAAAGTCAGGGAATAGGGAGGGAAAAGTCAGGGAATAGGGATGGAAAAGTGAGGGAACAGGGATGGAAGTGCCGGGCAGGGGGGTATGTACACGGGCAGGGGGTGCAGAGCGGTCCAGCTTGCTCGATCCGGTTGTTTTTCCAGTGTGAAACAAGGGCCGGGATTTGCTCCAAGTGGTTCCATGGGATTTTCTGTCCCTTTGTTTTTTAGGGTTTTTTTTTTTTCCTTTTCTTTCTTTTTTCTTTTTTGTAAAAAGGAGGTGATGGAGGGGGGGGGATTGGAAGGGGGGGGACAGAAAACCGGGACCCCCCCACCCTGTTACCCTGGGCTGTAAACGAATCCTCGGAGAGGAGTCTCTGAGCTTCTCATTTCTCAGGCATCTTACTGGCTCCTGCCTTGCGCTGGCTCGGGGGCTTGGGGCCACGCTCGTCCCCCTCGGGGCTGCCTCTGGAGCCTTCCCAGTGCTCCAGGGTTTTCTTGTGATTAGTCTTTGCTGCCGCGTTCTCTCTGCCCTTGGGGGACGTTTCCAGAGGCCTCTCCTTGGGTTTCCTCCCCCTTTTCTTCCCGTTTGTGCTTTTCTTCTTCTCCTCTTTGCTGCAGGAAAGCTGCTCCCTGCTCTTCTTCTTCCGGCTGGCCTCTGAGGAGGTCCGGAACCAGTTCTGTGCCCATGGGGGGACACCGGGGTTAGTGAGCGTCCTGGGGCTGTGGCCATCACACACAGCCCGTGCATGGACCACCTCATGCCCCACTGCTATCACTGCCCTGCTGGCCTGTGCTGAGCAGCCACAATGGGCCCTATGGGTGATAAGGACCCGAACGGGGACAGGGATCATCCCAGATTATCACAGCACTGATGCTGATAGTGGGAGACGCAGATGGATGGAGGAGGGCAGCCTGAGGATGGGTGTGATGGAGCACAAACCAGCCCAGAGCATCCCCATCCGCTTCCTTACCTCGGAGTGAGCCTTGATGATGTGGTACTTGACCCCGCTCTCGGAGCTGAACTCCTTCTGGCACAGGAGGCAGCGGTACTTGCCCACCGAGTGGTCCCCCTGCAAGACAAGAGCATCCTCCTGCAGCCCCATGCAGAGCCAAAACCACGGTGACCCCCCCATCCTGCTCCCACTCTTTGAGGGGAAATTGATGCTTAAACCTCAAAGAGAAACAGCAAAACGCTCATTTCTAACACACCAGATCTCTGCCAGCCCTCAGCTCCACATCGATTTCAGCCCATGCTGGTTGTGCTGCAGCAGTGCTGATGGTGGCATCAGGTCAAGCATCCAAGTGCCAGGCCCTGGGAGCCTGGAGGGCAGCGAGCAGCCTGTGTGTCCCCAAAACCAAGTGCAAGTCACCACTGACACCGTGTGTGTGCCCCCCAGGATGCTGCCGGGGGGCTGATTGCCCCATTTCCCCTCCATCAGCAGATCTGGGATCTCCTGGGGCTGAAGCACATCTCATTGATGTCCAACAGACTCACCTCCTTTTCCTCTGAGGCTGTTGGAGACGCAGCCACTGCTGGATTCCTGTCATTAGGGCCCTTGTGGGGATGACTGATCTCCTGCTCTGCCGCAGTTCACGGCACCGCGGAGATAATGTGCTCTCTTATTGACGAGGGGTTTATGGATGGGCCCCTCCAGGCGATGTATAAGCTCCCTGGGAATTCCTCCGTGCTGTAAATCTGGCCTTAAGACAGGTCTTTGATTTCAGGAGCAGGCAGGATGCGGGCAGGGCTGGCCCTGCTGCAGGCTGGCTTCAGCAAGAGGCATCAGCGTGGAGCATCCCTCCCCGCTGAGGACCGGGTGCTGCCTGGGAGCATCCTCTGTTCTCAGTGAGGCTCTTGCTCCATTTCAACCAATTCTGCAGGGTTTTAGAGCAGGAATCACAGCCCAGCCATGGAGGGGCTGTGATTTATGGCAGATCTGGTGGGCTGCGGGTCCTTTGCCAAACTAAATCCTCTGTAAGGGCAGAGTCCTGCTGACAACAGCGTGTTCCATGCACAGAACCAGGCAGGAAACGGCCCCAGCAAAGGCACTGCCCTCCTCTCCGTGCACTTTCATCCTGCACAAACACAGCCTCTTCTGGCGGATCTCTGCAGCCCATTTTCTAACTGATCTCATTAGGGGCTGATGTTCCAGCTAGGGATGGAGTTTGTGTTTTCAATCACCACGGGCTATGCGCTGGAGCTGCCTCCTGGAAGCTCCATTCAATGGAAGCTGCAGCTGGAAGCGTTTCATGCTGGAAGCTTTACCAGCTCTTAGTTCCAATCGCAGGGACCTACGCTGAGCTCCGGATCCCTCCCCTGTGGTGGCTGCAGGCCACCGGGGCTCACAGCTCTGATGCTCAGCCCTGCACAGAGCAGGAGCCGCCTCTTCGGCCTCGGCTCCATCCCACAGCAGCATCCCTCCGGCTGGGGAAGCTTCCAGAGGGGCTGCAGAGAAAGACTCCTGATCCCATGTGCCTTGGGAAGGGTCAGCTCCCAGCTCCCTGGCTCTGAGCTGCTGCAGTCACGCTGGGTAGCCAAAGGCTTGTGCATGACTCAGGGGCTGCAGGAACCCAGTAGGAGCTGCGGTGGGATGGGGATGCTGAGGCAGGAGGATGCTGCCCGTCCCAAAGGCACTCGATGCATCAGAGGTCTGGGCTCTTGGGTGAGGTATCCACATTGCAAGACTGGACAAGCACTCAAGTCCCCCCCATCCCTCCTCAGCTCCAGCCTCTCTGCCTTCATCTGCCTCTAGCTGTGGGTTTGATCCTGCCCTTGAGGCTGAGCAGCTGATGGGGATGGTGCAAGACCAGGCTGAGCGGTGACAGCCCGATGGGCAGCAGCATTGCTCACCCAGCCCTCCCAGTGGCCACATCCTTCAACCTTTGCCCTTACTCCATGGCCTGTTGCTTCCAAACGAGCTGGGGGGGGGACCAAAACCCCAACCCCAACCCCACTGAGGCTGTGAGCGGAGGGACCCACCTTGTTGCAGTTGGCCAGGTGAGCCTTCAGCCCCGAGACACTGGAGTAAATGGCTTCACAGCACTGCAGGGAGAAACAAAGCAGGGTTTGCCACGATCCCCCCCCGGCTCCGTGCCTTCCTCTGCACCAGGGCCAGGAGCCTGCTGTGCCAGCAAGGCCACGGGTCCAGGCTGAGCAGCGTGAGGTTAATGCTCTGTGAGGCGCGGAGGCCTCTGGTCACACGTTTCCTATTAGTGCTAATGGGAGTCATGTGGCCACATCCCTCTGCAACGGGATGACAAATGTCTCCTTTCAATGTCTCCATGGAAAACGTACATTTGTGAGCGCAAGGGAGGGTCCTGCTGGGCTACGGGAGCTCCTGGAGCCACAGCAGATGCTTCACGGAGACAGAAATCACCCTGACAGCAGCAGAGAATCACAGAATGGTTTGGGTTGGAAAGGACCTGGAGATCATCCAGTTCCAACCCCCCTGCCATGGGCAGGGACACCTCACACTAAACCATCTCACCCAAGGCTCTGTCCAACCTGGCCTTGAACACTGCCAGGGATGGAGCATTCACAACCTCCCTGGGCACCCATTCCAGTGCCTCAGCACCCTCACAGGGAAGAATTCCCTCCTTAGATCCAATCTGAACTCCCCCTGTTTCAGTTTGAACCCATTACCCCTTGTCCTGTCACTACAGTCCCTAATGAAGAGTCCATCCCCAGCATCCCTATAGGCCCCCTTCAGACACTGGAAGCTGCTCTGAGGTCTCCACGCAGCTTCCCTTCTCCATGACCGGTTTCAAAGTGCCATTCAGCACCCAGAGCATCCCCCCGGCCTTGGGGGAGCATCCTCCTTCAGAACCCCCTTAGCCAGGCTTTGTTTGAGAAGCTAAACCAAGGGTGGAGGTCACCTCCCCGCCAGCTCAGGCCAAGGGGGTGCTCTGCAGCAGGATGGAGCCCATGCACCACGTCCCTGAGGTCTTTGCTTGTCGCAGGGCTTCAAAAGGAAACGGCTTCAAACCAGCCCCAGCTTGGCTCTGGGAACAGCAGGTTCCCCCCATGGAAAGGCTCTGGAGTACAGAATGTGGAGCCTTGGATCTTGGCACCTCCAGAGCCTGAACTGGGTGATCCCAAACCATCAGCCTTAAGGGAACATGGGGAGAGCGTGGCCTCATCCCCAACCCCAGTGGCTGGAGCACACCAGGAGGCTCCCAAAGGTGGGATACGCTTCAAGCAGGCACAGCAGCAACCTCAGAGATGAACTGAGAGGAGGGTCTCTCCCAGCTCCATGTGGGGCCCAACAGAACCTAGCTTTGGTGGGATTGTGCCCCCCAAACCTCCCCTTTCCTCCTGCAGCCTGAGACCAGGCAGCCCAGGGGCAAACAGAGGTGGTCCTTACGTTGTTGGGACAGTTGATGCGGCCCTTCTCCTTCACTTCATTCTTCCAGCTCTCCAGCAGCCTGGGGTTGAGCTTTGGAAGCCCGGGTCGGGTGTAATTGAGCTGCAAACAATAGAAGCCAGTGAGCAGAGCTGCACCCATCAGCGCTGGCCTTGGTGGGCTCCATGCTCTTCACAGGGCTCTTGCTTCCCCCCGACCCAACCCAGGAGAGGTGAAACCGAGCTGAAAATGAGTGGGGAGGCTTCCCCCAAGGATGTCACCTCCCTCCAGGCACCCCAGAGCAGGAGCCAGTGGTGCTGCAGCCCCCTGCAGGTGATGCAAACAGGAGAGGGGATGCTCCTGCTCCTGCCCCATTGCAGGCCCAGAGCAGGGTGTTTTCAATGCATCGCATCAGCAAACCCCTCCTGCCACGTTTTGTAACAGGGAGAACAAACAGAGGGGATGGGCACCAAGAGCCTCCGTGGCTGCTTTCCACCCATGGATGGGCACAAGCGAACAATGAACGGCTCTTGTGTCTCTGCCTCTCCTTCTGGCAGGGCTGCTCTTTCCAAGTGCTTTTAATTAGGGCTTTATTAAGGACCCCGAGGTTCAGCACAGAGACTCGGCCTTCCCAGCGCCACGGCTGCATGGGCAGCAGCAGCAAACGTGGCTGTGGCATCTCTGTGCTGCCTGACCCCTGGGCCTGGCCCTGTGTCACCATCACCAGGGGACACGGAGCCCCTGCCTGCACAACCAGGTCTCCCAGCTCTAGAGAGCTCTAGGATCGATGCCTTTTGGGTCTCGAGCCCCAGCCTTGCCCCGGTTCAGAGCAGGGCTGGGGGAGCTTTGCCCATGGCATTGCACAGTCAGGCACCTCTGTGCTCGATGCATCCGGCTGCCCAAGGAGGATGCAGAGACAACGCTCGCACCGATGCAGACCCAACACCCCCAGGACCTGGAGCTCGTGGCTCTGATGCTGCAGGGAGGCAGCCGGGGCTCTTTTCCAGCTGAGGCTTTCCTGAATGTGCTGATCAACACGGATCTACCCTTGCCCAGCTCCCCCAGAGTGGCTGCTCCCAAACCTCCCTGCAAAGAGGAGCTCCCACCAGCACCAGCCACTCACTTCCACTGGAATTTAAGGGATCCACAGGCCCACCTCAGCACACGGCCATGGGGAAGGGAGCCTGGGGAAAGGCAGGCTCAATGTGAGGGGCAAAGAGCCTTGTGCAATGGTGTCCCAAGGCCTGGAAGTGAAAACCCCCCGAGCCCCAGCGTGCTGCTCTTGTGCTCCGTGGCCAGGGGAGATGCCAGCCCAGCTCTTTGAAGCTCTGGGATGGTGCATGGACCAACCCCTTGGTCCTCAGCCTGGGGACAGGCAATGGCACCTCCAGGGGAGAACACAGGAGTCCCTTTCTGTCACTGATACTGAGAGCCAAACGGCCTCCTTAATTAAAACCCAATCAACCCCATGAATGAGCCAACAGGAACCGCACACAGCCCCAGCACCAACCTCTCCCTCTGCACATCCCTGGGGAGGAGACAAGGGGGGATGTTCAGAGACGTGGACTCTGCTGCTCCAGCTTCCCACTCCGGAGCAAGAATCCCTCCCTCCTCTCCTCCAGCAGGCCTGTACAATAACATGCAAATCCCATGCCTTCCCGGGGCGCTGCGGTTCTGGGAATGTCAAAGTCATCTTTATGTCTCTATTAAGAGGGAGCCCCAGGCATGGAATATTTAAATCTCCGGGTTTTGGGTTGTTGGTTTTTTTTTTCTTCCCCATTTATTTTCCTCAAGCAGCCTGTAAGTGAAAATCTTCATGGCCAAACCATTAAACGATTACAACCGGTTTTGGCTGCGGCCCATCTCTTGTGAACAGTCGAAGGATGCTGGGCTGGGAAGGGCTTGTTTTCTTTGACTGATGGGTTTGTTTCATTAACGTTCATATTTCAAGGCTCTCTCCCCTTCCCCTAAACCCAGAGCAGTAAATGAGAACCATGCAGCTGCCTCGGCCCCGGCCAACAACGCGCCCCTGGAAGCCTTTCCGAGGTCCCCAGCGCGAGGCTCTCGCATCCCCCCATGGAAACCCCGGCCGATGCTGTCCTGGATGGGAAGGCAGGGATAGCCCAAGGGTGCTGCCTGGCTGCAGGGTCCCCTGCGTGGCTCCGGGTGGCCGGGTCACACCACGAGCAGGAGGAGGAAGGATGGACCGGTCCCTGCTGAGCTGGGATCCGGTTCAGCCCATCAGTGACATGAGGCCGCAGGGCTCAGCCTGGCGCCTGCCCAGATCACAGGGCCATTGTTTTGGGGGACAAACCCGAGCCAGGCTCTTCTGCTCTGGAATGCAGCCTGCTGCCAGGAGGGGGTTTCTTAACAGCTCAAGCCTGGGGGTGACTTTTCCCCTTTAGCTCTGGACCCTCATTACCCCACAACACAGCCCCCAGCCCCACAGAGATGTGCAGTCTCCAAGGCTGCTGCAGCAACACCCAAACCCAAGCCATTGGGATGTAACCAGGATCCCCTTGCATCCTATAGCATCCTTCTCTCTGCAACACAGCAGCTGCCTGGGCTACAGGAGCCATCAGCATCTCCAGCGCAAAGCACCTTGAAACAAGCAATCCCACCTTGAGCTCTACAGGGAAAGCATCACACAACCAAACTGGGGGATGTCCGTGGTGTTTGCTCCCCTCCTGCCTCTTAAATGCCTCTTCCCTCTGCTCAAGGAGATGGTTTCTCCCAATGCAGCCTCTAAAATGGGTAAGGACATCACCCCCCAGAACCCACCAGTGCCTGCCTGCACCACCAAGCCAAGAACCAGCCGGCCTCTTGCTCCTTCTACAACAGCCCTGAGATGCTCCTGCTCACGCCATGGCCCCAGCGAAGGCCAGAGGAGGGTCGAGGATCAGCATCATCTTCATGGAGCTTCTGGAAAGGGGATTTTTTCCCAGAAAAGCAGCAGGGGTGTGCCCTTCCCCATCTGCCATCCCCAGCAAGCGGCCGTTGTGAAACACCCCATCTGTTTCAGCTTATCCAGAGGCAAAGAAAGATCCCAGCGAGAGAATAAGGCTCCAGTGTATATTTAGAAGTGCTGGATTTGGTTAGTGCAGAATGGAGCAGCGCAGGGCCTGGGATGGAGCAGCAATCGTTTATTCTAATGCCATCGCTTTGGTGTGAAGGAATCCACCCTCCAGGGGAAAGGCAAACGCATCCCACCATGGGCCACCAAAGGGATCCAAACCCAGTGGTCCTCTCCCTGGCCAGGCCTGGCTGCCACGTGGCCACGAGGGCAGAGCATGGGGCAGGGGCTGCAGTGGGGCTGTGAACCCCTGTATCCCATCGGCTTGCTGAGGAGCTGTTTGCCTCTCCCTAGGGAAAAGCGTTGTTGCCTGGCAAAGGGATGGAGAGGAGGGCTGGATTTCTTCATCAGCTCCCTTGAAATCCATGCTGACTGCTGGGATTGTGGGGGGTAACTGGAGAGCTTCGGGATGGGGCGCATCCTGTGCTCCAGCACGTCTGGGCGCATCCAACCATCACTGGTCACAGGCCAGAGCTGGGAAGCATCCATCCCTCCGGCTCTCTGGAATTGCCCAAGTCTTGCTGAGATGGTGCAGGAGCAGCTGGAATCTGCCACTGATCCCTGAGAGCCCACCTCTCCCCAGGTCCAAGCCAGGGCAGGGCTCTACAGACCCTGATCTGAAGCAAGTCGTGAATGTCGAGGGGTCCTGAGCGATGCACGAGCAGCACCAAGCGTGCTGAAGTCAGCAGGCTCCCCCCAGCCAAATCCTGCCTCCCACCTCCTTCAGCATCACTCCAATGTCACAGACTGAACAGATGATGTGAGCGTTGTCAAGGGAACGTGACAGTACCTGCAGGCAGCTCCCACTGCACTGACCTCCTCTGAAACCCAGCTCCCCCACTGCCTGTCTTCAATGCCACCCTGCTTCCTCCAAGCTCACAGCGACCCTCTTTGGTTTGCAGTGCTGAGATGGCGCTCAACTAGACCTAACACAAGAAATGCCTCATAAAATCCACCACCAGCAACAGCATTTCACACAGGATTATGCCAGCAGCTCATTTAGGATGCCTTTGCATCCTTGTCCAGGCCTGGAGCTCCTGGTACCCCATTCAAACAGAAAATGCCCAAAGTCAAGACTAAGGGGAGCAATTCAAGGAGGAAAGAGGAATGCAAGTGCTGAGGCTGGAAGGGGGAGAAGAGAGCATCACACCTCCCCTCTCACTGCAGGCAAAATGAAACAGCTACTTGGGGCTTGAGCTTTTAGCCTTATGAATGCACTGCAGCTGAAGGCATCTGGAAAGCAGCAACAGCACCCAAAGCATTGAGGTTTGCATCGGTTCTGGCCCTAAAGGCTCAGTTCTGCTTCAGGGTGGATGGCAGCACCATGCCTGGATCCTAACCTGCATCAGCTGCCTCACGGGATGCCCATGAGGGTAAAGGAGATGCTGGTTTGTTTCTGTTCTGGTTTCACCTGCCCACTGCGTGCAGGATGGGAGCTGAGCGAGGCTGAGCTCCTCCAGCTCCCTGCAGGATGATGGAGCAGCCCTTCTGCTGGGAACACAGGCACCAGGACAGGGCAGGCGCTCTGGTTGAAGCTGTGCTGTTGTGCCCTTGGGATCGCTCCTCCAGGCTGGCTCTGGGACTTGGGCTCTTTCCCTCCCATCCACCCTTTGGGCTGGAGCTGTCCTGCACTGGGTGTGCTCGGGGCAGAGGCACTGCCATGATCCCCTGCTGCAGCAAAGCTTCATCCCACTGCCCTCTGCTCCTCGCTCCCTTCTTTGTGATGGTGAGTTTCAGAGCACTGGACAGGAGATGCCCAAGTGTTGGGAGCAAGGGAAAGACCTGGGATCTTACTGCAGGAAAAAGGCTGCAGAGACTCCCATGGTGCCTCTGGGTTGAGTCCTGCTGCTCACCAAAAAGTATCAACCATGGGGTTAAAATCCCTCAACTCCTCTTTTTTCCCCTTTACACTGAAGAGGTTTACGAGTTGCTGCTGCTCCATTCCCTCTATGGGCCAGAAGGAGCATTCCTGGGGGGAATTTCACCTCTGGGACATTGCCAGGAACCACCTCTCCCCCAGGCAGGAGGGGTGTTTGGGTTACCGTGTTACTCTGATGCCTCCATGAAGCTCACTTCTAGCAGAGCACCGACCTGGCCACACAGATCCCACGGCACCAACCCACATGGGCACCCCTGCTCGCTGCAGCTCCAGGCTCCAGCTCCCTCTGCTTGCCCTGTACAGTGGGAATCAGCTCCATGTGGAAGGGAGGCAATTCCACCCGGGGCACCTTTGCTCTCTGACAGTGGAAGGGGAATGGTTTCCCATCCACCTCCACTCTCTCCACACACTCCTCTTGGTTGCCAGTGCCAGCTTCACTGCTGAGCATGGACCAGCGCTGAACTCCCTCCACAACACCCTCTGATCCCTCCACTGCCCACAGAGCATCACCTTTTGCTCCATTTACACCTGAGAACTGGCAATGGGAAGGGCAAAGCTGCCAGGCTCTTATAGAGCCTCCAGACTGCTGAGGCTGGGTGGGCTCTTTAGCAATAGATTTGCCATCAGAGCTAATTGATTTAATGCACAGAAACGAGCCACGTGAGCCCTGAGCCGCGCTGCCTCCCAGGATCTCATTGTACTGCAAGAGGAGAGGAGAAACAAAGGCTCCTCACCCGCTTTGTTTCAGGCACCAGGTCATCCTTCATCCTCCGCTTGGTCCAGTCCTTGGCCAGCTCATCCTCTGCTATCTCCTGAAGGTGGAAAACAGCCACTTGTGCCGACGTCCGACGGATGCGGCCGCTCGGGGTCCGCTCAAAATCTTCTATGGGACCAGGCTCTGGCTTCACCTCTGGCTCCTCCGGAGGCTGCAAAGAGACAGGGTGAGGATGGGGATGCTGAGGGGAGAAGAGGAGCCCTCTGCAGTGGGATACTGGGGTTTGGGCTCTGCATTGGCACAACCTGCATCATGCAGGGGGGGCTGAAGAGCCACCAACATCAGACTGCCTGCATCCTTTCGTGCTCCCACGGGTATAAACGTCTCCGTTTATTTGAGCTAGGGAGTTTATTAGAGTCGGATGCACTGTCAGTAGGCATCAAGAGAACAGAAAAGGATGCTCCCCAGGGACGCATCCTGCCACCCCAGTGCTGGCAAGCAGCTGGCGCTTGCTTACTGCTAAGGGAGTGGCCTGAGCTCTGGTTTTCTTCCCTGCACAGCACGGATGCAGGGTGGGCTGGAGCACAGCCCTGCGGGCACTAGGGCAAGGGAACACTGCCGAGCATCCTGCTCCCATAAACAGCATCCTGCTTTTTCATAGGGGTCTATAGCTTGTGTCTCCCCCCCAACACATGTACACAGTGAGACAACAACATCAGTTCAACATCTGCACCTGCCTTGCCCGGCTCTGTCCTGCCCAGAGGCTCTGCAGCTCTGCAGTCCCCTGCAGGGGGGGATGGCCCCGCTCCTTGGGCTGTGGAGGCATCCGGGGGGCTCACCGAGGCCGTGTGCTCTGACCGCACATGGTAGTCGTGGCCAGCCTTGGACTTGTACTTCTTGCCGCAGTGCGGGCAGCTGAACACGGGCTTGTCGGCCTCGGCCAGCTGCTTCCCACACCGCTTCTGGTGGTACTGGTAGCCCATCAGGCTGGAGAAGTTGGCCACGCAGCCCTGCAGGGATGGGCAGAAGGGATAAGGAAAGTTGGGGATTCATGTGCTCCTTGCGGGGATGTGTGATCACTGAGCAGCCCCTCATCCCCAAAGAGCCACAGCATCCCCTGTCTCTGGCTCTACCTGCCCCAACACAGCACCAGAGCCCTCCAGACAGACACACAGGAGGCACTGGGAGGCACTGCCTGCACTGAGTCAAGCACCCATAGGGGCAAGCCTCTGCCATATACCCCATTACCTGTTGGTAACTTGTCTGCAGCCAGCTCACCGCTGTTTCCAGCGTGCTTTGGGCTGGTTTTATGCTGTGCTCTGCCCCTTCCTGAGCTCAGGAAGCAGAACCTGCCCCTCAATGCTGCTCAACCTGCCCTGTGCCCCCCCTCCTGCTGGGAGGGCCCGTGGCCCGAGCACACAGAGACAGCAGGATGGGACTGGGATGGCTGAGCTAAGGTGGAGAAGTCGAGTATGTGCCAAGGGATGCCTGGAGAGCGCACGTCCCCCCCTGCACTGGGGAGCGCTCCTTCCACCCTTCACACAATGAGAAACAGGAATCCTTCTCGTACCTCGTTGGGGCATTTCAGCTTTCCCATCTGCTTGAGCACTTTCCTCAGCCTTTCCCTCTCTTCCTGTTCACCAAGGCCAGTGGTTTCCACAGGAACGGGCTGGAAACAAGGAAGTAACAGAAGGGACAGAGTCAACCATTCACTCGTGTCCTGTGCGGCCGGAGATGGCAAACCTCTGCCTTAGAAGAGCTGCATCTCCCACTGCTTTACCACACACCAACACCTGCACTGGCCCATGCCAGACCTGCTCGTGCCTACCCTGCACTGGTACCCAAAGGGCGAGCTGAGAAGCTCAGGAGCAGCTCCTGCACAGAGGATTCACCAGCCAGACTGAAGAGCAGGAGATCAATGCACAGGTAAAAGACAAGTCACAACTGGTAAGCACGGGACACATCGAGATGAGGCTGTGCCTTGCCCTGGTATCCTGGAGGTACATGAGCAGGTTTTCAAGAGCACCTAACCTGGTACCTGCCAAGCGTTATCCACGAGGGATTTTGTGCCTCCTTCTTAGTGGAGAGCAGGATTTAGAGGTCTGTGCAAGGCAGAACCCATCAGCCCCGGCTCTGCAGGTGGTTTTGGAGGCAGAGCTTTGCCCCTCAAAATCCCCCTCACGGCACTCACTGCATCTTCCCCACCCCAGATTTGGAATCCTGGTGTATTCTCTGCTCTGCTCCCAGGATCAACACGAATCCAAGGAGCTGCCAGGGAAGGAACAGCGTTGCTTGGCCACTGTCTGGACTGAGCAGCATGGGAAACGCTGTGAAGGTGATGGTGTGAAACCTTCCTTCACCCAAAGGGAAGAGACTGCTGAGAGCCTCATCTGCATCTGCATCAAGAACCGAGGTGTGAGGAGAGGGCAGCCCAGCTCTTACCTTGCTGACGTGCTCAGCCATGGTGTGGTAATTCAGCCCAGCCTTGGACTTGAACTGCTTTTTGCAGTGCTGACACTTCAAGGCATCCTGCAGCTGAAGGAACCAAAGACAAGTCACCACGGGGGGCAGAGGCCACTGTTCATTCCCCAGAGGGCTGTTTGTCACTAAGCCCCATGGGCAGCAGCACCCAGCACTGGGACCCAGCAGGGGACCCTGTCCCCATCCCAGTCCCAGCCTGCAGCTCAGTTTTCTCTCTGTGGTCCTGGGTACCGTTATCAAACCCACATGCCCCAGGTGCTGGAACACATTCCATTTTGGATGTAGATTTAAAACCCCGCTGGCTGCAAACATCTGGACCTGGTATCTGAGTTTTCCTGTTAAAGGGTTAGGACAGAGGAGCAGCTTTGATCTATCAGTACGTTAGAGGGCTGTGCTCTGCAGCACTATTAACTGCAGCAGATGCTGGTGTACAAACCCCTTTGTGGGTGCCTGGGCTGTTTGAAATTCAGATGCTGCTGGACACAATCACAGCAGAGTACTTGCCACCTCCTATTGCCCTGCTTGTGACCTGACTTGGCCTCCTGAGTGACTGGGGAGAGGCATTAAATGCACACACCGACGTGCAAGGGGAACTTGCACGGTGAAGAAGCAGAACATGGCTTGTGCTGGGGCAGGTACCAGCATGTATTGATTCAGGAGGTGAATGCTCTGGGCACCAAGAGACAGGATGTCTCGACAGGGAGCTGGTGCCTGGATGGCTGCAGCCATTCCTGCTCCTCCTGCCTGGCTGATGCTTCACCTTCACCACTTCCCCCTTCAGTCAAGCCTGGACTGGAAGCTGGAGAGGGAATGAGGATGGAGCTGCAAACCCCTCCTCATCCCAAAGGTCTGGGGAAATGAAGAATAAACTCACTGCAGCCAGCTGGGAATGACTCACATATCCCTGTGCTCCCATCAGTTAACCTTGCTCCAGACCCAAGCGCTTGACCCTAACAGGGTGGATGCTAAAAGCCACTTAACTCACCAGATACCAATGCCAGCCAATTTGGGGTTTCCTCCTCTGGTCCACACTGAAGAACATGCCATGTCCATGTTCTAAGAAGCCCTCCCACCCAGGACACTGGCAGGATTTACCTGCTCTCACCTCTTTCAGGCCCCAGCACGTTGCCACTGTCCCCATCCCTTATTTCCCTTCCAAACCCAAGGGAAACAGGGCAGACTGCTCAGCGACAAGCAAGGAATGGAGAAACCAATTTCTGTTGGTTTATAAGAGTTCTGGGAGCCTGCACATCCTCTTCCCATTGTCCAGCTAAGAAATACTTCAGTCTTTAAAGCAGAGAGCAAGCTGAGAGAGTGCCTGTGCTCCAGGGTCACTTCTGGTGGGTATACCACATGCCTGTAGCAGTGGGACCTCCCTAAGGTTGTGCCATAGGTTCATCTTAGAGGGGAAATGCTGAGAGCTGGGCCTGTGGTCACACACCCAGAGCTTGGGGACCGTCCCCAATGGACCACAGACTGCTCTGGCAGGGATTCTGTGAAGCATCCCAGCCCCAGCAAGGACTGTCCTCCCCAAGGAAGGGGGACAAAACACCCACTTTAAAGGGATGCAGCCTATTTATAGTGGCCTATCACTGCTCAGCAGGCCTGCACGGAGCCTGGTTTAGCTTGGGAGATGCTCCAAAGCACAGGAGACATGAGCAGTGATGGCCAAGATCCCGCTCCACCGCAGCCAGGAGGACACCAGAGGAGGCAGGATTCTGCCCAGCATCGCTGCAGTCCAGGGTCTGAAAGGGAGAGCAGGCTCCCACTGCTGCCTAAATAGAGAGGCAAAGGCTGAGGAGGCATTTACAGAAAATGAATGTGGAAGTGAAGCCCAGCCCCATATTTTCCAAGCAGGAGGCATCGATCCCACGTTGCCTTTCTGTGGTGATGGCTCTGCACCGCGCCAGGTGACGGATGAGGATGCGATCCTCTGCTCTGATGGATGGTGGCGTGGCACAGAGACCATTCCTCACTGCACTGTTACTGAAGCCCTGCTCTTGACAGCCTGCCTGAGCCCATCCAAGCACGAGGCCTCCCTGAGACGTGCTCTCATTCAAGCACAATTTATGTGGCCTGATGCAAGGCGTGGGACACTGAAATCCCTCAGCCAGCACTCAGGAGGAGGCCAGATTAGAGACAGCTCCAACAGTCTCTCCAGCCTCACAACCATTCATTTAGCTACTAGAAACACCCAGCTCTGCTGGAGACACCGAGGCCAAGGCCTCAGACCACAAAGGGATGTAGCATCTCGGTTGGAAAAGACCTTGAAGATCATCAAGTCCAACCTTTCCCCCAGTAAAACCACTAAAGCAGGTCACTAAGGGCCTCCATCTGTATGGCTTTTGAACACTTCCAGGGACTTAGGTGTTTAATTCCCTCTGAATCGATGCGAGGCAATCATCTTCCCTCTGAAGATGACCAGCCCAGAGCACATTTATGAGTTGCACACATATGCATCCGTTCCCTTACAAAATCCATATGTGGGTGACTGGAGAAAGCAAGTCCTTACTTTCTGGCACACATCCATGTGCTTTTTGAGCCCCACGATAGTTTTCCTGGTTATAACACTGCAGGTTGGACAGGCGACTTCTCCCTTCTCGCTGATCTCCCGTTGCCACTGGTCCTCAGGGTTTGCTGGTGAGGGACAGGAGAGAGGTGTTACAGCAGCCTGCCTGGACTGAGGACAACCCTGCTCTGAGCCTTGTTTATCACCTTAAAAAGCACTGAATTGGGGAAAGGTCTTGATGTTAACGAAGAAACACTCCCCCAGGCATAGGTCAAGCCCAAACCAGGCCCAAACCACACAGCTCTGCCTGCCCCACAGCTCCTGAAGCAAACTGGTCCCTGGGTCTCTTCATATACCTGCCCTGTTGGCATTTGATAGGGAAAAGGAGGTTCCCCCCCTTTCCAACCCTGCTACGTCCTGCAAGCTGGGAGTTAAAACATGATGATGCCCTTGGCTACCTGATCTTGCCATGTGTGGAATAACCTCCCCCTGCCACATGAAACAAAGGTGAGCATCTCGGCTCCATTGGGATGGGGGCCTGGGAAGCTTCCCTGGCAATCTCCTTCCCAGCAGACACACAGGCAGCAAGAGGAGTGAGTGCTAGCTTCCAAGCATCAAATAAGAATGTCTGTGCCTGGCTTAAAAACCACTCAAAGTAAGAGATTTGTGGGGTCAAAACCTGCTCCAGGTCCAGAGCTCACAGTGATCCTCAGCACAGTGATGCTGGGCTTAGAGCAAGGGAAGCCTGGCCCGAATCAAACCCACCAAGTCTGTTTATTTGGATGCCTTTGCACAGCTCTGAGATCTCAGGGTGATGTGTTTGAATTTGAAAGCAGTGCAAGGCACTGCAGCTGTGTTTATCTCGCACATCCTGCTTTCCTCCTGCTGTCACAGCTCCCAAGGCAAGGCAGCAACCTGCGCTAGGATGTAGGATGCGCCTCGGAGAAGATGGAAGCACGCTTAGAGCTTTGCACTGCCATCGGTCATGGAGATGATGGTTAGAAAAATGCCACCCTCCCTGCCCCAAACTGTGGCCACAGTGAAGCCAAGGGGGGAACAGCCTGATTTTGTGCTGCTTCTGCTCACAAACCTGCTGGAAAACTCACCCAGGGGGCAAGGAGGGATATGGGACCTGCAGGTGAACGTGGGGACCGCAGTGGGGACCATACAGGCCTGGAGCAGAGCACAGGGTAAGCGCTCCCGTGCTTTGCCTCCCCGAGCATCACCTGCTGGTAGATGCACAGCTTCCTTCTTCACAGCAGCTCCTAGAGGTTTCTTTTTGAGCTCCTCCACGCTGGTGCTCCCCTCCAGCTTCTTGGCCCGATGAGCTTTTGCCTTATCCTCTGCTTTGACAAGCCCTGTAGAGAGACCAGGGCACGTTTAGAAAGGGGAAAAATCCCTTCCACTAATCCAGACACAGCAAATTGGCTGCAGCCCTGCCAAGGATGCGTGTATGGGATCGGGTCCATCGTTGTGACAAGCAATCCTAACAGCTTGTGGTGTTTTACGAACGGAATCATCTCCCCCAACCCAGGCAGTTTATGAACTGTGGGAACACCACGGCAAAGTGGGGTAGGTGCTGCTGGAAAGGCAGACTGTGAGAAAGACAGGAGGAGGCAGAAGGGCACTTTGAGACGAACCAAGATGGGGAATTGAAACAGCAAATGCAGGATATAACAGTGAAGGTCCTGCTGATGCTCCTGCACTGGAGAGGCTGATTGCTTATGCCAAGGAACTGTGGTCCTGCTTATAAAACTGGGTAAACTCTGGGACCCCAGACACCAGAGGGATGCAGAACCTTCCGTCCTGGATCTGTATGCACTTGTCATGATGCACATGGATCTCTTCCCATCCCAATGTGTGCTGGGAAGGGGCAGGAAGGAGCAGGAAAAGAGGGGTGACCGGGTGACAGGCAAACAGGGAAGAGGAAAGCTGGCCTGGCTCCCTGGGTTGCCAATGGCTGTCACCAAGCCTGCCTGCAAAGCAGAGAGGCACCGAAGGCAGGGCTCTCCGTGCAGGCTGAGTGCCAGGATCCCCACCAGCTTCCCCAAACCACATCCACAATCCCAACTTCCCTGTGCCTCATCCCTGCCTGGGCAAAGTATGTGCTTCCCATTCAGCCTGCTACAGGCATCACTGCCAAGCACCAAAGCATCATCCCTGTAGCAAGCAGGGTGAAGTGAGCAGCAGGAGGGTCAGCACGGGCTGAGAGCATGCTCTGTCACACAGAATCCTTTGGCACATCCAAGGAATGGAAAACCTGAGTGCCAGGGTCAGGTCCACCCCTGCCCCACGAGGGCCCACATCCCTCTGAAAGCATGGGTTGTGAGCCTGGGTCTGAATGCGATGGGCTGGTGGCACCCTTGTCTTTGGGGAGAGAACTGCCACACTGAGCCCAGGGGATGGAGGCAAATGCCTGCCTCATCTTCACTCTCCACCTGAGGGTCAGTGGGGAACCAGCTTATTCCTGAGGAACCCACAGCAGACGTTTCAGTCTGTGGCAGTGCCTCTGTGGGGTTGTTAAGGGGCACAACCCCAGCCATCCCAGGAGCAAGGGGAGACCACATCCAGACTGCTCATCAATAAGTGCTTAAACCCTTCAAAGCCATTAGTGCCTCTCCCCCGAGTGCCTCTCGTACTGGAAGGTGCTGCCTCCTGCCTGGAAATCCACTTTTATTTCCCTCATCAAGCATATTTCATGGGCAAGCTGAATCCAGCTGCTCTTGTAGCAGGGATGCTCCTGGTTTCCCCTCTCCTTTCCATCCCACTTGGGTATACCTATGGAGCACAGTCCCACTTGCTCTTGCTTTGTCAGGCTGAAACAGCAACTCCTGAGCCTCCTCATAGAAAACATCCCAGCGACACATCTCTTCTCCCCTGAATTCATCTTCTTGCCTGTGGGCGACCAGCACTGGAGCATCATCTGAGGGATGGATGCGTCACGCAGCTTTTCTAGGCACAGAGATCCCCCTCGGTGCCATTGGAAAGGCTGTGACATCCCAGCACGGTGGGATGATGATGATGAGCTGGTGCTTCTCGTGCCTTACTTGTGTCAGCAGCTCGTTACTCTTGGGATACAGTTGGACATACCCGGATCCTTTCCTCTTTCCCCTCATCCCCAGCAAGAGGCTTCCAAGCAGAGCAGTCAGGGCTGTTATCAGTGCCAGCTCCACCATTGCCTTCAACTCCCTTTACAACACCCCTATGGTAAGAGGCACCAGCTCCTCCAGTGTGGTGTCCCCATGCTCCGGGTGTCTGCCACGTTCCTCCTCCACAGGGAGTGCTCTTGGGAAAGGGGCTTCCCTGAAACGCCCCACGATGAAGCCACAACCCCAGAGCCACCGGAGCCATCCCTCTCTTACCTTTGAGTCCAAATGTCCCCGAGATGGACGGCTGCTCCCCCGTAAACTTCTTAGGAGTTTTCTGTTTCCTTCCTGACTCAAAAGAGAGAAACAGAGAGAGAGATTTGGTCAAATACCTGCACTGCCAGGGGGCTCCAGCAGTCCCAGGGCATGGGGTGGGCACGTGCTCTATGTCAGGAGTGCATCGCCTTGAGGAGGCCTTTACCACCATGAAACATGCGGCACCAAACAGCATCAGGATGCTGCTTACCACCCCAAAACCCCAGGAGAAATAAGTGGATGTGATGGTCTCAGTCTTGTGCCAAAAGCCACGTGGTTTCTGCAGCCTCAGCAGCTGATCTCCCCTTGGGCAGGTTCAAGCCATTCCCCTTGCCCTGTCCCTACATCCCTTGTCCCAAGCCCCTCTCCAGGTTCCTGCAGCCCCTTTAGGCACTGGAGCTGCTCTAAGGTCTCCCCTTCAGGAGCCTTCTCTTCTCCAGGCTGCCCCAGCCCAGCTCTCTCAGCCTGGCTCCAGAGCAGAGCTGCTCCAGCCCTCGCAGCAGCTCCATGGCTTCCTATGGACTCTTCAAGCAGGTCCACATCCCTCTTGTATTGGCACCTCAGAGACCCCCATACACCTACCACAGCTCCCACCAGGCTTTAACTCCCAGTGGAGCCACAAGGAACTGAGTTGGGGGCCAGTTATCAGGATGCTACAACTTGGGAACATTCAGGAAGCCACTCGCATTGGCTGGAGCAGAGCCCCTTCCCCAAGGACACCCCTCTCTAGGCTCTGGAACCAGCACAGCCCCGGGCTCTCATCTTACTGTGCTTCATCCTCTCGGGGTCTTCCTCCTGCAGCGAGGCCTGGCTGCCCCCCTGCTGCATGGTGTCCTTGCCACTGGAGGACCTGGCCGTTGGGGTGGCTGCTGCCATGGCCTCGGCTCCGGCGATGTGGAATTCCTTGCTCTCCCGGCTCTCCACCAGGCACTCCCCATTCTCCGCATGGTCCTGGCCCGGGGCTTTGTCCGTCTTTGCCTGTTTGGGATGGATGGTGGGGCAAGCTGAACTCTCAGCAGCTCTAGGGCAAAGCACAGAGGGCTTGTTTAAAGAGGGGTTGTTACACAGATGCCCTGACCCCTCTCCCCCCCATCACCATCCCGGATCACGGGGAACGGAGGTGGGCACATTCCCCTTCTCCCAGCTATCCCTACACCACCGCCACGCAGCCCACCCAAAGCCTGGTACCTTTTCTTGCCACTGCTCTTCCCAATAGCCTTGGGCACTTTGTTTTCTGCTTTGCTGGTTGGCACGGGCCGATCCAAGTGATTCCAGAGCCGATGCTTTTCCAGCTGGGTCTTGGAGGTGAAGGCAGCTTCGCAGTACGAGCACGAGTACGTCAGCTTCTCGGAGATCGCACCCTGTGTGAGCAGGGAGAGACAGGGGAGCACGGATGTGAGAGCATGGAAGGGACGGGCTCTTCCTGATGCAGGTATGAGCACAGATCATGGGCAGCATCCTTCTGCCCCTCCAAATGGTTACCAACAGCCCACAGTCCCCTAAGACAAACCTCACATGGAGCTGGAGGGACCCCAGTCTCTCTCATGTGCATCTCATGAACCACTTCTGGCCCATCCATGCCCTCCCTGTTTTAATGTAATCTTTCTCCTGGGGGTATAAGGCCCAAGAGGGGCTTTACCCTGTAGAGGGGAAGGTATGAGCAGGGCACTGGAGAGGACAGGCATCCCTCTGGTCCCCTTACCCCTTGGCAGCGCTGATAGTGGTACTTCAAGCCATAGATGCTGGGGAACTCCAGCCAGCAGCCTGCATTGGGACACTTCACCCTGGAGTGGGCTTTGAATTCGTCCTTCCACTGGTTCATCAGGGGGAGCTGGGAACAGGAGACACGTTGATGAGGGAAGAGCATGCGTCCAGCTGCATCCCGAGGGGCCACATGGGACCTTGTGATCATTCCTGTCCAGCCCCAAAGGGAACTGTGTTGCAGGGCCGTGGTGCTCCCTCCAGCCAGAGGAGCTGGGACAGATGCTGCAGGCTCTACAGGTTAATGTGGCTCCCCAAGCACACACACACTCCCAGCCAGGCTAAGGGAATAAATCAGGCTAGAAGCCACCTAAATGATTTAATCACCCCATCGTTCATCTAGGCAATAAATCACCCCATGGCCATGCTCTCCTGACAAACTGCTCCCTGTGTTGTCCGTGCTGCTGTGCGGGAATGAAACTGCACAACTCTGTGGGGAATAAATCACCCCTTTCCCGGATCATCAGCCAAACCTGACGTGTCTGAGAGAGAATGCAGCTCATCTGGGCATGGCACTGGGAAGAGGCTGGAGGGGGGGTGTGTTCCCTAACTGGGTTTTGGAGGATGCTGGATGCCTGCATGGAGGGGATGGAGGGGTGAGATCTCGCTATGCCCACAAGGCTGCTCTGATGGTTAAGCCTCTGGGAAGGGCAGGTTTCACCTTGGGATGGGGCTGGCTGGAGCATACAGTGCAGGAAGATGTGGAGGGCAAGGCAGGGATGGCACTGGGGAGCAGAGGGGCCGGGGTCTTACAGGGATGTCTTTCAGTGCCTGGTTCTCAGCCTTGGGTCGTCCTTTCTTCCTGCCTTCGGATTTGTCACTGGTTGCATTCCCTGCAAACAGAGGGAGCGCCCATCAAACGCTGCTGTCCCGGCAACCCCGCTTCCCTCGCTCCATGCAGTCTATGGACACGCACAGGGCCCCGGGCTGAGCATCCCTGCCCTGCCAAGGATGGAGATTCCCCTTTGGGAGGCAATGCCAGCTCCTCTGCAGCTCAGTGCACAGCCCCTACACCCACAGATACCTGCATAGGAGGCAGCAGCGTCTCCTGGTACCCACTGACACATCTCCTTTCACTCACACAGAACAGTTCCAGCACAGCCGGGGGGTGCTTTGGAACCCATCCTTCCACTTGGATTGGAAGAAATCCTTCAGCAACTCCACCACTCAGCTATAGAAACCTGTGTCTGGGCAGGCTGTTGAGCACAGAAATCCCATCCCTTCTCTGGACCAAGACCTGGCTTGGGAAGGATGCTCCCCGTGCCAACGAGGCTCCTGCATCCACCTTAATTCACCCTGATGACATGAACCCTGTCCACCATTTCCCCCTCCAGCCCCATCCCAGTGAGAACAATGAAGTGTCTTCATCACAAAGTGTCCTTCACTCCCCCTCATCACTTTCAGTCCATCCAAGCCAGAAGCAAGAGCTAAAAAAGGGCTGCTAAGATGTGGGGCACAGAAAAGCCCTCCTGAACACAGGTATGCTCATACTGAGGACAGCTGGAGCTCATTCCCATCAGTAATAAGTTATAGCCCTCTGTTAGCAATTACAGCTTCAACCCCCTCAAGGGAAGAGGGACATTTGGGAAGCATTTAGGGCACAGGCATTTCCCTGCAAAGCTGCTGATTTTGGGTGCCTGGTCTCAGATACATCACTGGGGTCTGAGCCTCACCCAGGGTGCAGGAACCCTTCGCTATCACAGAACCATAGAACCACAGTGGTTTGGGTTGAAGGGACCTTAAACCCCATCCAGCTCCAACCCCTACCATGGGCAGGGACCCCTTCCACTGGAGCAGCTTGCTCCAAGCCCCTGTCCCCAACGTGGCTTTGAGCACTGTAAAGGCAGTGAGAGCCCCTCTGTGGAGCAGCCCAGTGTAAGCACACAGAAGGAAACACATCTCCTCGGGCCTGGAGATGCCTGGATAGAGCAATCAGCCATCCATCAGAGCAACAGCCCTTAGCAAGCGGGTCCCCTGGGGCTCATCGACTCGCAAACCTCCTCGACCCAGGAGGCAGCAGATGGGCTGAACTCCTTTAAGCCTTTCCCTCCTTTGATGTCCCACTCAGCTACCGGCACCACAAACACCCATCTCGTTAAGCCAGCAAGGGAGACACCGGCTCCATCGCTCCCTTCCCATTCCTGCAGCCCCAAGGGGGCTTTTCTGGACCAGCACACTCCTCCCCAGTGGGTTAAAGCAAAGGCACGATCAGATGCACTCACACCCCCCCAATCCTGCCCCCAGCCTCATCCCCTTTGCCCCATCCACCTCTATGGAAAGGAAAACCATGTCCTTACCGAGCTTGGGCAGCTCTCCCGGTGGGTTTATCCTTGTCTCTGTCCTGCTTTCCTTGCTGGCAGCGGGTTTGTGAGAGCCTGCAGTTTTCCTTCCACCTTTATAGGTATAGGAATCCGCCATCTCTGAAAGAAGCAGGAGAGGCACTAACATTCACTCCTCGGAGCCGGGAGCAACACATGCTGGAAGCAAGGAGAGCTGCTGGGGAGGGAGGGAAAGCCGGGATCTACCCCACAGCCCACAGAGCCCTACAAAGAGAAGCAGCAGGATGCGATTCCCAGGATCTGTTCTAGACTCCAGCAACGCCACAACGGACATGGCTGAAAAGCTGCTTTATTATAGGCTGCTTTCCCCTCCACATCCAACAGCAGAGACTTTAACGCTGGGCTGCCTCTGCCCCGAGAAGCAGGGAATAAATGGCTTTTTCCTCGCCGTTTATTCCTCGCCTTTCATTTGAGACACCCAAAGAAAAAGAAAACCAGAGTGAGTTTTAATGAGCAGATGTAGTGATAAATTTCCAATTTTCCTTATTAATGGGAAACTGTTACAAACCGAGGAGTGGGGACGTTATCTGAATTTTCCCTATTAATAATTCAATTTGGCTGCTCTATAAATAATGAGCATCAGGAATTATCGCACAAGGCCCACGCCTGCTCCCAATGGGAGCGGGCAGCAGGACACCCCTCTGCTTTGGCAGTGCCATGGGGTGGGTTCAAGCACCTGCCTCCCTTCCCAACAGGACAAGCAAAAGACACATGTGAGGATGGGGCTGCGTTGGGAGCATCAGGCTCTTGGGAGGTGATGCCCTGGACCACCATGGATGAGACCCTGGATGGGATGGGATGCTGATCTCAGCCAGGCATTGACAGCGTTGACTATGGGAAGTGCCAGCTAATGACTTCTTCACCCCTGCTCAACCCACACAGAGAGATTTCACTCCTCATCCCAAATTCCTCCAACAAGATCACACTTAGCATCATTTAACTCAATGGACTGGATGCACTGAGCACCCACATTCATCCTGCCTCTCCTTGTCCCCAGAGGGATGCAGAGAGAGCATCCCGGATCATCAGCCACGCCATCAACACGTAAGACACAAAGGCCCTTCAGTCCTTTCTGAGGTGCCCCAGGGATTTTCCATGTGGGATCAGGCCCATCACATGCAGCACACATGCTTCAAGAGCTGGCAAAAGCTTCTGGCACGTGTTCGCCTGGTGACATGTATGCGGTTGCATGGACACAGAGGTTAATGGGATCAAGTGAGACATCTCAGCCTTGGCAACAGGTTCTCTGGCGTTTGCTGGTGAACACATGGAGCGTTGATTCAGCTAACTTGGAGTCTTTTGATGGGAGACCTGAGCTGCCCATGGGATTGCTCCAATCCCTGCGGCCCCTTCCCAAATCCCAGCTCCACTCTCACTGGGGTGAGACCGTCCCTGATCCTCCATGGATGAACGTGCCAGTCCCTTCCTTCCTCTGCTGTCTCCTGACACCTCTTGGTGACGCTCAGAGGACTTGCTCAAAGAAGACTCATGGAAGATCAATGAACTGAAAGCTGGAACAAGACCTCAGTGCTCTAAAACAGGGTATAAACCAGGGGGAACCCACACAGCAACACGTTTATCCAACCCGGGCCAGCGCTGAAACACAAACCTGCCCCTTGTGAGCATCAGGACCCCACACACTGAGTGGTGCCCACCAGCACAGCAAGCAGTGAGACCCCAGTGCAGGGCTGCTGCTGGACCACAAACCTCCGTATCCACCTCACTGGGCAGCAGCAGGAGCATTCGCAAAGGGTGACCCCAATGATGGCCAAGTGCCCACGTCCTGCACCCCAAATGCCCTATGGCAGCGCACACCAAAGCACCGGAGCAGCAGCGATGATGAGCACCACCTCCAACATTGCCTGCCCAAAACCATCACCACGAGGTGCTCAGCTCAGCTCTGCCCCTTAACACATCTGCCCCCTCAAAGGGATCCTTTCCAGCCAGCATAAGAGGTTCTGAACATCTGCTTTTCCATACCAAATATCCCAGAGGAATTGCCCCAAACCTTGTTGGTTCTTTCTTTGTGATGTCCAAACTTCTCACTCTTTTTAGAGCAACACACGCTGAAACTGGGCAACAGCCCCTGCCCTTCCCTGCTACTGTGATGGTGAAAACCCTTCTGCATCCAGCAATGGGACGAGGTATCGGTAGGGTGCGGATGTGGTGTGGAAAGGGTGGGAACAGCAGCACCTTCACTGATGAAGCCTCCAGCTCTTCTTAGGTGACTTCTTACAAGTTTGAGGCAGTGTTTCCCAAGCATCCCACTCCAGCTCCAGGGGAGAATTCCCGTGCCAACACAGGAACCAGTGTGGGATGCGCAGAGGCTGAGCTGGTGGTGCTGAGGAGGAAGCCTGTGGCCACAGGGAAGAGGGAGAGAAGGTTGGGAACCCCCTGTGCCAAGGGCATCGTTCTGGAGCCACTAGCACAGCCACGTGCTCCTCTGCCGGGTTTGACAAGGAACAACAGTGTCCCAGGGGCTCATAGCCCCAACGGGCTCTTTCTCTCCATGCAGAGCCTGGAAATTGGGAATAAAGTGGAAAAGGACAACTCATTCCATGGATAAATGCCTGTCCGTGACCTCGGATCGGGTCTGCAGGAGCACAGCACAGCCAGGGATGCTTGTGACCCTCTCAGCTCCACGATGGCTTCATGGCTTCAGGGGGGAAGCCACCCATGGGTGCTGTCCACTGATTCTCCTGGCGGGTCTCCCAACCCAGTCCCATTGCTATGGATGCTCCTGACCCAAACCGGCCACCCACCAATGCGCTCCAGTTTACCAACAACTCCAGGTACAGGCAATGCCAAAGGCGAGCGCGCTGCTCCCCTGCCCACGGCGCCATGGACCAGGCAGGATGCAGGCAGGGATGCGACAAGTCCAGCGCGGATGCCAACGCCAAGGGACGCTGCCTTGTCCATCACTTCTGGAGCTCCACTGCCAACCTGGACCCACGGCCACGCAACCTCCCGGGGATGGAGCCCATGGAGCCTCCTGGGCACGGAGCAGATTCACCCCTCCGAAGGCTTCCCACGGAGGGACCGAGGCGCTGGTGACACCGAGCCCCTCTCCATCACCCCGCCGGAGGGCGCAGCCCCAGCCCCGGGCACGGTGAAGTTTGTGCGGGCAGCAGCACGTTAGGGCCAACCCCTCCCGTTCTCCCAGCCCCGGGCACGGACCCACGGGGGGCAAAGCCCACGCACGGCCCCGGCGCACAATGAGCCCGAGGCGGGCACCGGCTGCCCCGGCGGACACGGGCGCTGCTGTCACCGCGCCGGGCCTGCCCCCTCTGCCCGCGGCCTGCCGGGGCCCAGCGAGGGCCGGCGGGGACGGGAGGGCCGGGGCCGGGCCCGGCCGCGGAGCCGGGAAGGGGAAGAGCGAGCGGCAAAATGGCGACGCGGCGGCGGGCGGAGCGGGGCGCTGAGCGCACGGGGGCGGCCGGGCCGGGGGCTGCGGGGCGCGGGGTCGGTAACGGCGGCGGGGCCCGGGCCGGGCCGCACTCGGTGCTTACCTCGGGGGCCGCGGTGCGGGGCACGCAGGGCAGGGCCCGCCCCCCCCCCGCCACCACCCCGGCGGGCGAGGCGGTGCCACCCGCGGCTGCGGACCGGGCCGGGCCGTGCGGGGCTCCCCGGCGCGCCCACACCCGCGGCAGCGCCGCGCTCCGCTGCCGCGCTCCCGCCCGCCGCCGCCGCCGCGGCTCATGCGCGCTCCCCGGCCCGCCCCGCCCGGCCCGGCCCGCCCCGCGCCCAGCACCGGCCCCGCGCCCGCGGATCTCGCGTGGCTCCGAACAGGGACCGGGACCGGGACTGCGGCTGGGACCAGACCGGAGCGGGGCGGGCGGGAGAGCGGCGAGGGCTGCCCCGGACCCGGGCGGGCAGGGCAGGGCAGGGCGAGGCGGGGCGGGTCCGGTCCCTTTCCCAGCCCTCCAGGGTGCGGGCAGCGCTGTCCTGCCCGTTATCCTGCCCGTTATCCTGTCCTGCCCGTTATCCTGCCTGTTATCCTGTCCTGCCCGTTATCCTGCCCGTTATCCTGTCCTGCCCGTTATCCTGCCCGTTATCCTGTCCGTTATCCTGTCCGTTATCCTGCCCGTTATCCTGTCCTGCCCGTTATCCTGCCCGTTATCCTGCCCGTTATCCTGTCCTGCCCGTTATCCTGCCCGTTATCCTGTCCGTTATCCTGTCCGTTATCCTCTCCTGCCCATTATCCTGCCCGTTATCCTGTCCGTTATCTTGTCCTGCCCGTTATCCTCTCCTGCCCGTTATCCTGCCCGTTATCCTCTCCTGCCCGTTATCCTGCCCGTTATCCTGCCCATTATCTTGTGCTGCCCGTTATCCTGTCCTGGCCGTTATCCTGTCCTGCCTGTTATCCTGTCCTTCCCTGTGTCCTGCCCGTTATCCTGCCCTTCCCGGGTGTCCTGCCCGTTATCCTGTCCTTCCCTGTGTCCTGCCCGTTATCCTGCCCATTATCCTGTCCTGCCGGGTGCCCTGCCCGTTATCCAGCCCTTCCCGGGTGTCCTGCCTGTTATCCTGCACTTCCCGGTGTCCTGCCCGTTATCCTGTCCCGCCCGGTGTCCTGCCCTGCCTGGTGTCCTGCCCGTTATCCAGCCCTGCCCGTTATCCTGTCCTGTCCGTTATCCTGCCCTTCCCGGCGTCCTGCCCGCTATCCAGCCCTTCTCGGGTGTCCTGTCCGTTATCCAGCCCTTCTCGGGTGTCCTGCCCGTTATCGAGCCCTTCTCGGGTGTGCTGCCCGTTATCCTGCCCATCCAGGGTGCAGGCAGGATGCCCTTCCCATCTTCCTACCACCCAGGATGCAGGCAGGGTGTCTTCCCTCTCATCCGCTCCTCCAGGGCGCCCTGCCTGCTTCACACCCTCCAGTATCTAGGCAGGGTGCCTTGCCCATCGTCTTACCCTGCAGGGCGCCTTGCCCATCATCCTGCCTCCCACGGTGCTGGAAGGATGCTCTGCCCATCCATCCCTGCTCTAACCCCGGGCTGCAGGCAGCTTCCAGGAGGCTGCGGAGCCTCCCCAGCTCCTTGGGATGAGATCGGGTGTGAGGCTGGTGCAGTGCCCATAGCACAGTCTGGTTTTCCCGTCTCCTGCTCTCGGGGTGTCACGCAGGAAGCTGCCACAGGGCAGAGCCAGCCTTGGTTACTGGCACCGGGAGCACTCCGCTGGGAGCACTGGGATCCAGCACCGCCATCCGGATGCCCACAGCAGCCCAGAAATCAGGCAAAACCAGGCAGATTCTGCCATGGGAGAGCGAAACCCAGAGCAGCATCGCTCCGGGGGCCAGCCTGGACCACCATCACACGGTGCTGCGGGACCTGGGAGGCCCCGTGGTGCGGGCACGCAAAAGCAACCCGAAAAGCGCAACCCCGATCCAAGCTGGAAGTTCCCCTGCGGATCCCGTCTTTGTCTCCACCGTGGGGAAAGAGCTTAATTAATGTCTATGGAGAGCAGGGAAAGCTCGGTGTAATTGCTGGGTATTATCTGCGGAACGGAGGGTGATCAGCGGGGTGGGAGGGACGGGCACAACCCACCTCCTTTGTATAAAACGAGGCATATCCGAGGCGCTTTTGCTTCCCAGCCAACGAGCTGCCTTGATGGGAGAGCTGTTAACCTGCAGCAGGCAGCGAGGCAGCTTCACGTGGGACCGGGCAGCATCCTCAGCACCTTCCAAGCCTCCTCCTCACTACAGGGCTGCAGATGGTACCCGGTCTCCCCCGCTGCAGCATCCCAATGGTCACCGCATGCACCCTGCGTGTGTGTGGA